GAAATATTTCTAGATATTTCTTCTTGATAAAGTATCAATATTTTACAGCACTAAATTTTTAAAAATTGGTGCTGCAAACATGCAGATATTCATGGCATTCATTTAGGTGTTGCCTTCAAACCTCGGACCACTAGTTGATTACACAAGGACTGCATAAATTAAGAATTAAAGTATTTAAGACTTTAAGTAAAAAAATCGTATGTTTTTTTCGATTATTTATACAAATGTTTTAATTTCTTCTCTAGTCTTTACAAATTTAGCTCCATCTGTTCCAATTGTAGTAATCTGATGTTCGAACTGTCAACTGTGCTGACAGCTGACAGTTTTCTTACAATTAAATTGTTTTAATAACTCAATACATCACCATATCTATGGTATCGCAATACAGTGGGGCTTCAAGATACGAGCTACTCAAAATACACGTTTTCAAAGTTATGAGTAGGCAACTTTTGCAAGATTTTCCTCGTGATACAAGGAAACATTGAGTTACAAGTGCTCAACTGAGCTCCATTTTTCCACTCAACATTGTCCCTTGCTGGGTTATTTTACCCATTTTTATATATTTATTTTATATTTATATATTTTTATATATATATATTTATACATATATATGTTATCAATGTATTTGTTTGTATCTATGTTTTGATGTTAAGATACACTGACATGCTCACAACAACAGCAAAGTGTCTGTGTGCAAGAACGAACTGGGCGAGATGTTGGAGATGAGCGTATGGTGCAATGCTGCAATGCTGCTCGGTGTGGGTTGCGGCAGAAATGTTGGATGTGGCGGGCGGTTCAAAATACGAACTTACGAACACAATACAGCATTTTACGAACATTTATGGACATCAGTCAGTGGTTGTTTGAATCTAGGAATTTTTGTAAGTCGAATGTTCATATCTCGGGGAACTGCTGTGTAATGAAAGTGTAATCTAGCTGTTACTCTTATCAGCAGATCTTAAGTTTGCATTGTCAAAATTAGCTGTTAAGCTGTAAACCTGGTTTCAGCAGCATTCGGCTTTGAGTCATATAAATGCCTCCCACTACAGCTCATTTACCATAGCTTGCTATGCGACAAAAAAAGAGAAAAAGACAAATATAAGTTTGTGCAGGCTCCACCTGTAATAAGTCAACAAATGGAGAGAGAGTTGGCGAGCAGAAAAGGTTAGAGGAGAATTTAAGAAGTCCACTCATCCTGATGAAATGATCTTGGTGCACTGATTGGATCATCAGGCAGAGGCTGTTTCAGAAGCGG